TGGTGATGACTCGGATACCTCCCCTTTTCCGAGGTCCTTCATCTCCTCCACATGCTCACGCCTATCACCCGAGAGCGATGATCTTGATGATCTTGCACGAATGGATGATTTTTCAGCTCCGGCTGATAATGACATCCCTTTTCTTCATTATCTTTTTATAGATGTGGGTAGTGACCCTTACCAGTCTACTACCTCTACTGTTGTGGTAATGGGCGACCCGCCTCTCGCAAGCGTCGGTGATACAAACACTAAGACTCATACTGGTGTCGTTGATACAGATATCGAGCCTCTCGCCGATATTGTTGATATAGATGTTTAGCCTCAGGCCGATATCTGTGATATTCCCATCACTGACTTTCAGGTCGCCGATGGTACTGAGAGTATTGCAGCTTCTTCTCCGAATAGGTCACTTACTTCTATTTTTGATTCTAGTCTTCTGGGCGTTCTCCATCGGCAGTGTTTTTCATCTACTGAGTGCCACATGTACTCCGCTTACCCCTATTCTAATGCTACTACTTCTGTGCCTTCCTCTATTCCTACTGCGGAGGAACCCCCAGTTGCTACTCTTGTACCTTCCCCTCTTCCTACTGAGGGGTAGAAGCCAGTGAACCCTATTACCAGTGAAAACGGGGACGACTCAACATCTACCTCTTCTGCCTCTTCTTCCTCATCTAATGTTGACTCATACATTGATGTTCCTATTGAGGGGGAGCTGGTTGATCATGACAGAGTTATGCAGTATCTGTTGAGGGGGAGCAGCCAAGTTCTCAACCTACAGTATCTGTTGAGGGGGAGCACCAGCAGGTCAGCTCTTTTCAGCTAAAGCAACTAAAGTTGTAAGAAATCAGTCTGAAGCCTCTTCAAAAGACAAACTTGTGCTTAAAGTCTCAGGTCCTCTTGAAACTGATCTTCATCTACTAAGCATTTCAGTTGAGGATGCGGCCAACTCAATTGCTCTTCAAAAGAAATTTGATGAAGCCAACAGGTCTCACTCTTTGGTCCAACAATCAGAATCTAAAGAAACGAAAGAGAAAAGAATAAGATGGTTCAATGACTTAATTCTCCGTTAATATATTGCTACTCGAATTGTAAGTGTTAGAATCAAAGGTCCTCCAAAATTGACCTACGATTCCAATATTATTTATTTGATTATTGGTCTAGCAAACGGAGTGGTGAGAATAGAAAAACTATCTTGGATTAATACCTATGGCCTACCTAAATGGATGGAGACTATCAAGTTTCTTAAGAAGAGCGCCGAAGGTATGTAGAAAGAGTTTGTATTGGATCACTTGTATCGTATCCTGAAAAAGATACAAATGATCAAGATGCACTACAATCTGCCTTCCCATCCTCAACTCTCCTATCTTAAGTTGTTGTTGAATAAAGGTGCCCTATCTATGTGACTTCTTCTTCTTGAACTACCTTCATCATTGTAAGTATTTAATTCATTGTCTAGTATAGATGCAATTTATATTTTGTATTTACTTCAAATTTTTTCATTATTTATTTGTTTCTCTTTGATCTATTATTTGTTTTGTATATACATTTACAGTTAAAAAAATAAAATAAAATAAAAAACAAAAACAAAAACAAAAAAAGGAGAAAAGAACCTAAAAAGAATATGTACATGTGTCACTGAATTTATAAGTTCTTTTTCTCAAAGAATTTTAGAGTCTGTCTATCTTGTATTTATTTCTTTCTAAGTGGGTGTGACGTCATCAAATAGGGGGGATTGGTGGGTCACCTATTGATTTGGTGATGACCCACTGATCTGTTCCTCTACCCTAGCAACACTTAGTGGTTATTGGTTTTTTGGTATATTGGTACATACTTAAAGTCATTAGCAAAATCGAAGACTAACCGATGTGCAGACAGAAGGTCACCGATGCAGTAGTGTGAATCAACTGTCTAATTTACATACCAAGGCTCTAGAGTAGCTGAAATGAAGTTTGAAAATATTTTAAAGCTATAATTCGATTGAAGGAAGATCTTCATGGACCGAAGATTGAAGATCTTCATGGACAGAAGATTTGTGAGTAGCTGTTTGAAGCTACTAATCCATCCAAAGAAGATCTTCCTACTGATTGACCATATCTCAGCAAAAGCTTGTCTCTGCATGAACAGTGTTGTATGCATTAAAGATGGCCAAATCGGCCCGGCCCGGCCCGGGACCGCCGGAGGACCAGGACCGAGACTGACAAAGGACCATCCCGGGACCGGGACCGATAAGGACCGGTTATGGGACCGAAAACTGGGACCGGTTGAGGTTTTTGGTAGTTTGGTGGGACCGGGACCGGTTATGGGACCGACTATGGACCGGCCCGGCCCGGGCCCGAAAATTCAGATAATTTTGTAAATAAATGTATTTTTAAATAATTTTATAATGTATTTTTATAAGAAAACGTAATCTTAATTATATTAAAACATATTTTTAAAGTGTATTTGAGTGACACAATTGTAAATTTTATAATGTATTAAAAATATATATCATTAAAAAAATAAAAAAAAATCTTATTTTTTAATACAAGAACCGGTTGGGACTGGTTGGGACCGGGACCGGCGGCCCATAACCGGTTATGAAGTACCTTGACCGGTCTTATCATTTTCGACCGGGACTGGTTATGGCCGGTTATGAGAAATGTTATGACCGATTGGGACCGGCCCGGCCTGGCCCGAGACCGGTTTTTGGCCATCTCTAGTATGCATGTTGTGTACGATGAAAATGTTATACCAACAATGGTCAAGTCAACCCCTGTCTTCTTATCCTCAGGTGACAAGTGTCCCCATGCATTTAATGTTGAAGGTAGTATAAAAGGCAGTGTGCATCTCTCATGCAAACTGACTTTTTGGAAGATTTCTTAGTGCATTCTCAAGGCAATCGGCTATCCTCTTCTACTCTCTTATTCTCTTGTGTGTGAAGAAAAACTTAGTGTTCTTCATTGTCTTGCAAGTACTCTCTGTGTTGTTCTTGTTAGTTCTTCTCTTTGTAAGATTGTTTAGGTTAAGTTATCATTTCCTTCCGCAACAATCTTTATTGTATCTCTGTGTGTTAATTTTCATATACATCAATAAGAATTAAAAAGTTAAAAAGTCTATGTAATTGTATTCAACTCTCCTTTCTATAATTACTTTTTGTTTATTGACATCCCTTTCGGGACCAACAATTACTTTTAAATTAGAATAAGATAAAATGACAAAAATGTCAAAATGTCTTTGCATTTACCCAATTGTTATTTAAAGGAAATGAGTCAAATGAACCAATAGTGTATTAAAATGGCAACCATCATAATTAAAGATATACTTATTTTAAAATAATTACGAAAGTCAAAAGTGCAACCACATATGATGGTTGTATATTAGCCAATTTGATTATACAATTTCTATTATATATCTATATCACAAATATCTCAAAGTATTCATATAGAATTTGAATAAGATCTTTAAAACCATCTTAGTATGTATAAAAATTTCTCAAAATATTCTTTATTTAATTTAATTTTATATTAAGTTTAGAAAAAATCTTTGTAATTCTTATTTTACTCTGAAAGGTCCCTTATTACTAACTTTGTTCGTTTTCTATGTTTATAACATACCTGAAACTGTATAGTTAGTAACTTCTAAAAATTGGTTAATAAATTATCTACATCTTTTATGTATAAATAATATATAATAATATATTATGAATTATATATATATATATATATATATATATATATATATAAATAAAGAGAGAGAGAGACATCTAGTCCCTACTATTTGAGATTTATTACAAAATTAGAAAAAGACGAAAATGAAAAAGAAAAAAAAAACGAAAATGCTCCTCCTTCTAACAAAAGAAACAAATAGAGCTTAATGACAAGGACCATTTTCCAAAAAAAAATCGTAAAGATTTTTTCTAGACTTATTAAAATTAAAGTTCCATTTTAAGCTTTTCACTATACTTTAGGGATCAAAATTAGGGTTTACTCTGAATAAATTAATAATTTGGTTTTAATTTTTACTAAAAGAACATTTAATTAGAGTTTTATTATTATTGAATTAAGAGTAATACGCATGAAACACTTTAAAAAAATTGATATGTTTTAATATACTAGAATGGTACTCGCATAATGTAGCGAGATACATATGGATTTTAATATTTCATTTTATTTTTTATCTCAGTCAATGTTGTAATATGGTCTTATGTGATTTTGAAAAAACGTTGATGTTTCTATTTTTAAATAAAATATAAATTTGAAAATATCATAAAAATTTATCGATATTAGTATCATATTAACTATTTAAAATTCTTCATTCTTTATGTATTTTTATAATTCAATTTTTTTATTATAATTTAATTTAAGTTCAATAACGAAGTAATTTATATTTGGTTTAATAATATAATTTTCTTATAAAGATAATAACTAATTATTTTGTTAGAACTCGATAATTATCCCAATTATATATTACATATTTTATATTTTAAAATGAGATGTTTATCCTATATTTGATTATGTTTATCCACAGTTAGTTACACGAATTCAAACATGGAGCTTTAATAAGTTGTACTTATGCATAATTTACTTGTAATCTTGAATTTTAAGTAATAAACATCAATAAACAGTACTTCATGCATAAAAAATGATTTTTAAGAGTTTTTATCAAATGGTTTATAATATAGTATAGATATAAAATGGAATAATAAAAATAATTGCTAAAACACACATTATACAAAAAAATTGGTTTGATAACTATAAGATTGTGTGTCATATAACTTCCATTTTATTACAATAAAGTCTATAAAATATAAGTTATCACACCGATTCCAAATCCAAAATTAAAATGTAAATCTATAAAAAAAAAATGGATAAAAAATCCCACTTGGAAGAAATGCCGGAGTCAACTCTTAAAATGGTGGGAGGGTCGACTTACGCGTTTGTTTCCCATTTAAAACACTCACATCCACGTCTATACTTGCTTCCTATAAAACTATGTCTTTTTGCATTTCTTGTGCTACAACAAAGAAAACAAAAAAACCCTTCTTTCTTGGCAAATAATTCGAGCAGCAATGGGCCGTCTCGACTCCAACCCACCTTCTCAGTCCTCCGATCAAACCCCACCACAAGGCTATCCAAACCACCATGACAACCCACTATCACCACCACCACCACAAGAAGAAGCTTATATGGCTGATAGCAACCACCAACAATCCACTAGATCCTTTATACCTCAAGTGCCGGAAAATATGCCACCACCTGAAAGTTACCCGCCTGAAAAACCAGCAATATACCCACCTCAACAGCAACCGACAGCATACCCACCACAACAGCCGGTGCCGGCAGCCTTTCCACCTCAGCCGGAGCCTGTTGCATTTCCACCTCAGCAGAATTACAGCTATACCACTCATAATGCTCAGCCACAAGCGGTGAGCTACCAACCGCAGACCGGGTATCAAACGCCGAGTTATATGGGTCCTCCAAGTGGGATTGCTGTCGGAAGTCAATACCTTGCTCCGACTCAGGAATGGAGGAATGGTCTTTTCGACTGTGCTGATGATCCTGAAAACGGTAATTTTAACTCTTATGTTTCAAATCAGAAATCATTGTTTGTATTTGAGGTGTTTATGGAGAGTATGGCGTCTTAGAACAACACGTACAGTCATTGTTTTGAAATAGCCGGATTAGACCGGACCATTAAGATTCATTACAAAACAAAGAGGAATAGATTTTCCTGTTGGAAACCGTCGACGGATTTGTAACGGATTTGGGTCCGATTTGTATTCGATCCACCCCGTAAACGATAACCTCTATGTGTATTAGACAATGTTCATCTTTTTTTGATCTTTGTTCATTTACAGCTCTCATAACGGCATGTTTCCCATGCATCACTTTCGGACAGATTGCAGAGATCATTGACAACGGCCAAACCTGTAAGCCAAATTATACAATATTGTTCACATTAATTTGTGTGTATATAAAGTCCCATGTGCCACTAATGATATTTAATGCATTTGGTTCAATTCACATGGTTTTCTTGTAGCGTGTGCGACGAGCGGACTTATATATGGTCTAATCGCGGTGTTTCTCGGGTGTCCTTGCATCATGTCATGCGGGTATCGGACCAAGATCAGGAACCGCTATGGCTTGATGGAGACTCCGGCACCTGACTGGGCGACACATTGCTTTTGCGAGTGGTGTGCCCTTTGTCAAGAATACCGAGAACTTAAAGCACAAGGCTTGGACCCTGCAATAGGTACATTAATTTATCGCATTTTTAGGCGAATTCTTACAAATATCTACATGTTTTTTATTTTATGTAATTGCTTTTTTTTTTCCAACTTGCTAAACTTAAATTATTGGCATCAATTTGAAGTTGAAAATAGCCTGTTCAAAATAGGATCCCTGTCTGACTTTGAAAAGATTTATTATTAAATATATAGTATATAACATTTGATTTAACACATAATTTAAAATCACATATTTAATTAATAATTAGGGGTTGTTTTTGAATGACTTAAGTTATGTGTCTGGTTGAGGGACGACGAGGCAAATAGAGAGGGTTGGATCATTTCTGTAACACCCTTGAAATTATAAAATAATAGATAATTTAAAACTTTACAAAAATTTCCAAATAAAACAACTTAAATAATATAATGCTAAAAATTTACGAAGAAAAACAACAAGAATGTATCACAGTTCTAACTAGACAATCTATTCTTAACAGAATTAGAATATCTTTGGGGTTACTAAAATCATCAAGTATGCTATCTTCAAAACTGGATGACGCCTCTAAATCCTTCCTATCGGAACCTCTACAAAGCTTCGAACGCCTATCAAATTCCACTAGAACCAGATAAAACGGCTAGTAAGTTAAAACAGTTTTGTCACATAAAACATAAAAGGGTTAAAACAAACATTTTCTTTTAAAACAACGGCCCAATATTTAAGACATAATTCAAAAAATTAGTATCTTTACAAAGTTCAAATTCCAATTCTAGTACCTATTTTAGATTAATAATCAATATCCAACTCATCTAAATTGTCCTAAACACACTAATAATATAGATAAATCTATAGATTCAAAATATCGAAAATATGGGTAATGAAGTACCCGAAAACAACATATTTCGGTGATGGGGAAGACCCAGTTCAATGAATGTGACAGGAACACAACGTTAAGTCACTTATCAACGTTTCTCGAGTTTCACCTTACGGGCCATGGATCTCCGTAAATGAGTACCGCCACAAAATTCCAACAATAACTCTAGTGTCTACTCGACCTCTAGATGAGTCTCAACACAAAATTCACTGGCCACCATATAGGGATCCCACGAGCACCACCGAAGACCTAGCCATGTATTTGACTCAACTAAGTACCACTACAGGCTAATAACTCCATATACGACCCAAAGGGTACCACCACAAGCTCTCTACTCATGACATGGGTACCACTCGCTAGAATTTAGCGTGTCCATCAAACCCCCAAGCTTAACAACAAGACAGACTCGTACAGTTGAAAATTACATGACACTAGTTGAATGACTAATGCACTCAAAAACATGTAATATACCCAACAAATATACAATATATGCATTATACTTCCAACACTCCACATTGAGCTACTAAAACTGGGTAATTATTCCCCAAATTAATTTGTGTTAATATTAAGCCAAACAGCCTCATAAAACACTTGACTATTTCAATAAAGTCAATATAGCCCACATAAGCATAAAAGGCGTATTTTCCAATCATATAAACAAATATGGCACCCATAACATGAATGGGGTCATATACCATAATATTATTGAAGCGTAATAGCCAAAAGGCACAAAACCCTATGATTTGTATTTCCAAAATCTTTACAAAGCCAAAGAAGGTGTTTACCAAATATTTATATGTTTATGACCAAAAAGGGGCAATATACCACTATCAAAATGACATTTTTACCTAGTGAAATCGAAACAAACCCACACCCTCTTTTAAAGAGTCAAAATGACATTTTTACCCCAAACTATCCAAATATCCAAGAAAACTCATTTAGATATATATATATATATATAGACTTGGGATCATGTGAGACCAACCTGTCTTCGTGAGACTCGTGAGACCACTTTTTACACTTGAAACTTCACAGTAAAATGGAAGGTAACCTTCACAGTGTTTTTGCTGTGAAGGTTCGGATTTTTTTTACCTTTACAGTGTTTTTGCTGTGAAGTTTCAAGTGTAAAAAGGTGGTCTCACGGGTCTCACGAAAACAGACTGGTCTCACGTAAACCCAACCCTATATATATATATATATATATATATATATATATATATATCTCATTATGTGTCTCAAAACACCCAATAAACACAATATCATCATTCTTTAAGATTTAATAACCAAAATACTCAAATACACAAATATTCACAAAACTTCATCAAAAGTGAAATAAACACATAGAGGTATGTTCAGACACAAAAATGGAGATATTTTCACATATATAGTGTTGCAAAGCAAATAGATTCACCTTGCTAGATTTAAACTAAATCTAGGTTTAACCCAAAAACTTGAGCTTCATTTGGTGAGAGATGAAAACTTTGAGCCAAACTCTCAATCTAAGGTGTGAAACTCCCAAAATACTTATTTTACTCCCAAAATACCAAAATATAACACAAGGAATAAATTAGATGTTGTTGGTGAAACTAGACCATAACCCTATATTAGAAAAAAGAAACCAAAATCTTACCTTCTAGCTATAGAAATCTCGAACCAACAAGCAAAGTCTTCAAGAGTCTCAAGAACGAAACTAGGGTCCCAATGTTCTTCAAAAGATGGGAGGGAAAGATGAGAGAAAGGAGTTACTGGGAGTAAATGAAAGGAGATTGAAAAAGAAAACCAAGAGTAAATGCGATCCACGGTGTTGAGCTAATTAAAACCCTACATGCATCCAAGCTACCTTCGGGGTTGCTTAGGGTGCCTGAAGCAAGGTTTCCCTGCCAACTTCGATCTATGTGCATGCACACGCAACCTTCGTACGAAATTCCACGCAGCTAAGGCCGCACCATAAGGTGCCTGACCCTGTGGCTTGATTTCATGCCAGGGTCGCGGTTGAGAGCTTAATTCAGGGACTGTGGCCACTCCTCGTGCAGCTTGGACTGCCCAAGAAGTAGCCTGACTCAATGTTTACTCGAGTTTTTTGTCCTACAAGACACAAAAACTACCCGATTGCGCCAGATGTTACCAAAAGGTTTTTGAATGTTAAATCCCGACTTTTAAACCTAAAAACCAAAGGAAAGTTCTAAATTTCCTAAAACTTGAAGCTTAAACAAATTTGTCGGGTTTACAATCTATTTGTAACATCTTAGGTCAACTGTACTAGATATTATCCGTTCTATCCACACCTGAACTCATGGTTTTAAAACACGTCTAGTAGAGGAGTTATCCAGTCCCTTATATGGTAACTTGTCACTACAACAAAATTAGTTTTATAAGACACCTAGAATGTCTAAGTGTCCTAATAGAATACTTAATAGAACTTAGGTTTATAGGATCAAACTACGAACGTCCTATCTAAAAGCGTTACGATAGGTTTATAGGACACTTTTAGGCGTTTTTAACAAGTTTTTCAGGACTTTTGAAAATAAAGTGTCCTAATTAGTTATTTTATAGGAAACCTTTGAGAAACCCATCTTTTTTATAGGAGACTTGTGTTTATAAGACACTTTTTCAAATAGTGTTGAATAGAATTAGTTAATTCGACACTTTATTTTAAAGGTGTCCTAAAAAGTTTGTTAAATGCCTAAAAGCGTCTTATAAATCTATTGTAACACTTTTAGATAGAACGTTTTTTGGTTTGGTCCTATAAAACTTAAGTCCTGTAAAGTACCATTTTAGGACGCTTCTACAATTTAGGCATCCTAAAAAGTCAATTTTATTGTAGTGTTCATTCCCTTCCCCAACCAATGTAGGATCTTATAATCCACCCTCATGGGAGCTTAGCATCCTTGCTGGCACACAGTCGGATTCCCGGCTCTCTGTAACATCTCAAACCAACGGTATCAAATATTGTTCATTTTGTCCACACTTGGACTCATGGTTTTAAAACTCGTTTAATAGAGGAGGTATTCAGTCTTTTATAAAGCAACTTTCGTTCTCCTCCCCAACCAATGTGAGATCTTACAATTTATAACGCATTTCTAACATTAATTTGTTTGAGGTTACTTAACAAGGACAAGTGAAGGGACTTTTCTTATTTCATATAACCATTTTGGCTTAATGGTTTAACAATTAAGTCATATGGAAACAATCTTGTATGGTTTGGCGATTAAGACATACGACCATTTAGCTCATTAAGCTGTAAATAAACAGTCCTTTTAATACCTAACTTACGATTTTGTAAAGCCAAATTAAAAATATTTCATACCATAATCAATTTTATTAGTATCCCATAACATTGATTATCACAACAAAAAGCCTTTGGCCTAGCGGTATGTGAGTCTTTGGTCTCCAAACAGGCCAAAGGTTCAAAACTCACCAAATGTGAGGTGGACGTGTAAGTTTATTTGTTTTATTTGTCGTATGTAAATATTATATATTTCAAAAAGATTGATTATTGCCAAATAATTAAAAACTAGAGGAAATTGTACTTTTGGGAAATCGTAAAATGAAATAAATATGGTATTTTTAAGATTGTAAGAAGCATTATTCACATTTTGGTTTTAAATGCTATTTATTATTAAGTTTTCTTTCAATTTAATTTAAACATATGCATTAATCCCTTAATATTTGGTTTGTGTTTTATGGTTTCAGGGTGGCAAGGAAATATGGCGAGAAACCAGCAACAGATGCAACACTATCCCACAACCACTCCCCCAATCAACCAAACCATGATGTGATGGATTGATCAAATATGATTTGTAATTTGAATATTATTCTACCTTTTTTCCACATTTTTAATTTAATGTAATTTGTTAGTTTCTGAATAAATTCATTCATACGTATACATTTACATATAGCTAGCTACACGTTGTTTTGAAAAATGGTAAATATTTAAAAAGTAAGGAAGTGATTCAAACCTTTCATACGGTCACGATTGGATTTGACTAGTCAAAATTTACAGTTATACGAAAAATAGAGCGAGTAGTTTCGCAACTTTTACAAACACTTACCACTTTTCAAATAAACCTTTCCCTATACACATATATTCATATATAACAAATATAGTCTCGTAATATTTTCTCTTTTGACTGTTTCACAGTTTTGGTTGGGCACTACACCAAATGTTGTCTTAGACAACAAATGTAAATTGCCTATGTTGCTTAAGATACACTAAGACAACAAAGGCTATTATATGTTGCCTAAGTTTCCTCTAATGCAACATATGGTTCTATGTTGCCTAAGTGTGACCTTACGCAACATATAAATAATTCAATGTTGCCTGTTTGTATCCTAGGCAACATATTAACCTACGTTGCCTTAGTTCAATGTTGGACACTCATATTTTTTGGAAATCCGTCAAAATTTACTTAGTCAACATATATTCTTATACTATGTTGTATAAGGTAAAAAATATAAATCCAACAAAGTTTACTTAGGCAACATATATTTCTATTTATATGTTGCCTAAGGTAAGAATTATAAATTCAACCCAATATACTTAGACAACATATATTCTTGTTTCTATGTTGCTTAAGGTAAACAAATTGATACTTCCAAGGTGACAACTGACATTGTACAAAAGATTTATCATAATTTACTAAGGCAACATATACTATTGTTTCTATGTTGCCTAAGCTTAAAAACATAATAACTCCCGATAGTTGAAGATTTTAAGATTGACATAAGTTTTAAGGTAGACAACTGACATTGTACGATAAATCCATCACATTTACTTAGGCAACGTAACCTCTTGTGTGGGAACGTATTGGATTTTAACGAATGTTAGTTGGGCTTTAACGGTTTTATTGGGTTTTACTGGATCATATTGGGCTTTAATTAATGAATCGTATTGGTCTTGAATGGAACATATTGGACTTTAATGGAACGTTTGGATTTTAATGGAACGTATTGGGCTTTAATGGAATGTATAGGGCTTTGGTGGAACGTATTGGGCTTTAATGGATCGTATTGGTCTTTAATGACCCGTATTAAGCTTTCATGAACCGTATTGGGCCTTAATGGATCGTATTGGACTTTGGTGATACATATTGGGCTTTAGTGGAACGTTTTGTGCTTTAATGGATCGATTGGGCTTTAGTGGATTGATTGGGCTTTAGTGTAACATATTGAGCTTTAATGGATCGTATTGGTCTTTAATGAACCGTATTGAGCTTTCATTAACCCTATTGGGTTTTAATGGAATGTATTGGGTTTAGTGAAACATATTGGGTTTTAGTGAACCGTATTGGGCCTTCATGAACCGTATTGGGCTTTAACGGACCGTATTGGACTTTAATGGATCGTATTGGACAATAATGGACCGTATTGGACTTTAATGAATCGTATTGGACATTAATGGACCGTATTTGCTTTAATGGATCGTATTGGACATTAATGGATCAGATTGGGCCTTAATGAACCGTATTGGGCTTTAATGGACCGTATTGGGCCTTAATGGATCGTATTGGACATTAATGGACCGTATTTGCTTTAATGGACCGTATTGGGYCATAATAAATCRTATAGGACATTAATGGACCRTATTGGGCCTTAATGAACCGTATTTGTTTTAATGGACCATATTGGGCCATAATGGATCGTATTGGACATTAATGGACCGTATTTGCTTTAATGGACCGTATTGTGCCTTAATAGACTGTATTTGCTTTAATGGACCGTAGTTGCTTTAATGGACTGTATTGGGCCTTAATGAACCGTATTGGACATTAATGGACAGTATTGGGCCTTTAATGGACCGTAGTGGCTTTAATGGACTGTATTGGGCTTTAATGAACCGTATTGGACATTAATGGACCGTATTGGGCCTTTAATGGACCATATTTGCTTTAATGGACTGTATTGGGACTTAATGAACCGTATTGAACATTAACGGACCGTATTTGCTTTAATGGATTGTATTGGGCTTTTAATGGACTGTATTGGGCCTTAATGAACCGTATTGGACATTAATGGACCGTATTTGCTTTAATGGACCGTATTGGGCCTTTAATGGACCATATNAATGGACTGTATTGGGCCTTAATGAACCGTATTGGACATTAATGGACCGTATTTGCTTTAATGGACCGTATTGGGCCTTTAATGGACCATATTTGTTTTAATGGACTGTATTGGGCCTTAATGAACCGTATTTGCTTTAATGGACCGTATTGGGTCTTAATGAACCATATTGGACTTTAACGAACCGTATTTACTTTAATGGACCGTATTGTGCCTTAATGGATCGTATTGCGTTTTGATGGTCCATTAATAACAATAATATTAATAATTTTAAAAAATATATTCATTCATGAAATATATAATAATAATAATAATATAATTTTAAATTTCATAATAATAATAATAATAATAATAAATTAAAATTTTGGATTTAAAATTCAAAACAAATTTTAAGTTACTTATGTCATTCTTATTCAACTGTGTTAATCAACAACATTATTGTTATTTTTTTACATTACATTATAAGTTGTATATATACATTACCTAATATAATCTCCCTCTTTTTCTCTAAAACCCTTCCCCCTAAAATTTTAATTTCCCTCTTTTTTTTTCCCAAAACCCCACCAAAATTAAAGAAATACACAAAAAAAAAAAAAAAAATCAGATTTTTTTTAAAAACCCTTTTTTCCCTCCAAAACCCTTTCCCCCTAAAATTTTAATTTCCCTCTAATTTCCCCAAAACCCTACCAAAAAAAGAAACCCACCTTCTTTCCTCTTATAACAAAAAAAGAATCCCACCATCGATTCCTGTGTGACTCTCCATCGATTCCTCTAGCTCTCTCCATCGATTCTTGTTTGGGATTCATTTGTAGAAAGTATGCAAGAAAATAATTGTATCATGGTACACAAAAATTAGGCAACAATTAAACAATATAAATGTTGCCTAAAAGAAATATTATATTATGTTAATTACAGTTCGAATGCAACATATCTAAATGTAGTATGTTGTCTAAGCTAATATCTTAGGCAACATATTCAGATCGAGTATGTTGTCTAAGCTGATATCTTAGGCAACATATTCAGATAGCGTATGTTGTCTAAGCTGATATCTTAGGCAACATATTCAGATAGAGTATGTTGTCTAAGCTGATATCTTATGCAACATATTCAGATAGAGTATGTTGTCTAAGGTGATATCTTAGGCAACATATTCAGATAAAGTATGTTGTCTAAGCTGATATCTAAGACAACATATGTTTTTCACTTAGGCAACATAACATTTTGTGTGTTGCCTAAGAAGCCCGCTTAGGCAACATATTCTGTTTGCATATGTTGCCTTGGTTCTTATGCAACATTGAGAAGGCAACACTGCTTAGGCAACACGGGTTTGTTGCCTTAGCCTTACGCAACATATAAACTCCTCTTAGGCAACAATAAGTGACATTTTGAGGTAGTGGGGTAAAGTGTCGGAGACACATAAATTCTTTTTTTCTTATGAAAAAACGATCCAAAAATAATATACTTTGAAACACTCAGAAGTCAAAAGGGATAATTTTGGATGACTACAAAATGGATCATCATTGTCTATCGCAAAAATATGATTTCTAACAAAATTTTCAAAACCCTTTTGGGAGTACTTATCTTAATTAGAAAAGGATATTCTTTTGTTAGATAAAGACGTTAATTAAATCCATCAAAAAATCATAGATTCAAAAATATATGTCTTTGAGTTGTGCATCTAAAAACAATCTTACAAATTTCATTGCTGGTTAATCACAAGTGTAATAGATGGGTTTAAAGTTAACCGCCTCCTAATCTAATCTATACACGAAATAGGTTACGACCAAGTGTTACTAAATAATCCAAAAGTCACTATCTCTTCTCTTCAAAACGATAGGTGATGCTACCCACCTGGTGCTTTAATGCAGCACCCAACCTCTACAGTTTTCAAGACTTTTTTGCCAACCACTACAATCATCACTAAAAGTCACAACCGTTGGTAAAAATCTGTCGGTTAATGTTTCCAAGGTAAACACTTTACCAGTGGATCTCTTACGGTGTATTTTGCAGATGGATTTTCGTCGCATGTTTTACAGACTGATGACAGGTTTTACCGACAGATTTCCATGCAAGTTTTACCGATGGATTTCCTAGAATAAGTTTTACTGACGGACGTCATTACATTTTCCATCGGTAAACTTTTTTTAGAAAAGTTAATTCAAATTTATTCGAATTTTTTCTGTACAAAACACATAACCTTACTTTAACGTCTCAATCGGTTATCAAACCCAACTTGAATAACTTTTGATCATTATTATTCATGATTGAAATCGAACACACTATAATAGAATCGGATTTACAGGACACTGCCAATTTCGAGGTGTCTTAATATTTAACTTTACAAGACTTAAGTTCATATAATCAAACAATAAAAGTCTTATTTAAAGGTACGTATTATAATAGATTTATAGAACGTTTTTTAACATCTTAACAAGTTTTTAGGACACTTTTAATATAAACCATCGTATTAGTTATTTTATAGGACATTTTTGAGAAACCTCCATCTTTATGTATGACACTTGTTTTTAAGATACACTTTTTCAAATATTGTTTTATAAAATAGCTAATACGTCACTTTTTTATAAAAAAGTCTTTAAAACTTGTTACAATGTCCACAAGTGTCTTATAAACTTATTACAACACTTTTAGATAGAACGTTTTATTGTTTGGTTTTATAAACTTAAATTTTATACAACCGTCTATTAGAATGCTTGAACATTTTTAACGTCCTCAAAACCCAATTTATGTAATAACATATCTCAAACGAATAATTGAAAACAGGAATTGGGAGGAAAAAAAGTAAAAACTGGTCAAAATTTGCCTCA